CTTGATTTAATGTCAATAAAAAATTGTCAAATAAAAATTGACTTAAATTTTTAAAAAAATTTCAAACAAAATTAAGTGTTTATATGCACGAAGGTATTATGCACTCTTTAGATGGTGTGATCTATGTTTCTAAGATATGTAAGAATTTAATATCGTTGAGCATGTTAGAGTCTCAGGGATATGAGTATTCTGCCAATGATGGAGTGGTAAAAGTCACATGATGCTACATTGTCATGATAAAAGAGAATTTGTATAATGTTTTGCATCGTCCAGAAAGTGAGCCCTCAAAGGGATGGGAACAGCGCCCAAAGATTGAGAGCTACCAGAGTCAAATTTCAGTCAGTGAGGAGGTGATGAAAAATTCACATGGTGTAGACGATTGTGAGACGATTGTGAGAGGACAAATAATCTTGCCAGCACCGGTGAATTGGAGAAGTCATCCAGGTCCCCCTACAAAATCAATTAATGCTGAGTATCGGACAATGCTTGATTCGTTATCTATAGTCGGGAATGCCGATGGTTTGAAGTGTCAACTGCTTGAAGAGTTTTATGGTGTTGAAAAGTTGATGGAATTGGAGAGTTGCTATATATTGGGTGCGAGGAAGTTTAAAAAATTTGAAATCAAGCTACAAGTAGAGATTTATTAGTTTTAATTTGTTTAGAATTCAATATCTTAGTGTTTATCCCACATCAGCTTTTAATCCTTTTCTATTTGGAAATTTTATATTATAAAAGTTATTCTATACAATCTATTTTCACTAAAATAGTTAACCCCGTTGGTAATTGAATAAATTTATTTATTATAACCGGTCAATCCTTTGTTAATTACCACGTTAAAGAGTTGAGAAAGAAAACCAAGAATATTGATTATCCATTTTTTTTTTTTAAATGAAGAATTGTCAATAAAACAAAATTCATAACATCGTGAAATATAGATCTAACAACATCGATAAATGTATGCTTTGAGTATCTAAAATACTAAAATTTAGAATACAGTGGATTCTGGAAGGGAACCAAAACACTAAGTTCTTTTATTAGACGGTGAAAGCTAAGCATAAAACTGAGTACAAACAGAGTACTAATGGATGTCGAAGGGAAAAAACTAGATACCTCTGATCAGACCACACATGAAGCCATCTCGTTCTTTCAGAAGTTACTTGGAACAGCTGATCGAGAAGTTACAAGCTGCTTAGAAGGTTTGTTGACAGAACTACTGCGAGTATCAATAACTGATGAAGTACGGGCTACACTAGTAAGGTAGGTATCCAGGGTAAGATGAAAGATACTATGTTCTCACTTAATAGTGAAAAAGCTCCAGGGCCTGATGAATTTAGGATTAGTATTCAAATATAACCGCAATTTTTTATACAAAATGAATTTAAACTAAATCAGTGTATATTCTTTTATTTTTATGTAAATAAATACAGAAACTTTTAAAATTAATATAATTAAATAAAATTTTGTTAAATTAGATTAACCGCCGTTAGTCTTAGACACATTATCTAATATAGATGATGATCTGTAATTTTCAGTCCACAATGACAGATTACATGGCATTTTTTACTGAAGCAATGGAGAAAAGGGGAGATTCACAAAAAACAACAAATTTTGGGGTTTTCACAGACAAAAAAACCACTAGCACCCCATTACCAAACACCCCATTCACCGTAGAACAACCATCACCAAAACAAAAATTGACACTAGCTGGAATTGGAGGAAAATTCTTCAACTTAGATAGATGGCAAAGAAGTTTGTCAGTAGGAGAATGGAGTTGAGATTTGGCCATATCAAAGGAATTCCTATTCAGCAGTACTTGTAAGGGAGGAAATTAGGCCAAAACAAGAGAAGGAGTGGTGGCACAAACTTATATGGTTCCAATACCATATTCCAATACACACATTGATAGCTTGGATGGCCATACTTAACAAACTCCCCACTGCAGATAGGTTGAGAGCTTGGGAAATAGAGGTTGAAGGAATATGCTGTCTATGTAAATGTGTAGAGGAGTTCAGGGATTATGTTTTCTTTGGATGTGACTATACAAAACAAGTTTGGTAGAAGGTTCTTCGGCTATGTAGAACCAGCAGGGGAGTAAGGACTTGGGCTACAGAGTTAAATTGGGCAGAAAGAGTTAATTTATTTTAAATGAATAAACATTCATTTAAAATAAATTAACAATTAGTAAAAACACCAAATTGAAGATCAAGTATAATTAAATGTCCTCTTTATAGCAATTTTGACCTGTTATTAAGGATTATTGGGAGTATTTATTCGGTATTCGAAAAGAAAATATATCCTAATCAATTAAAAATTAAATTTTACGTATATTTTTATTTTTAAATTTGATTTTTTAATTATTATTAATTAGTTTCAAAATAAACATTTAAAAAAAAAAATCTATCTCATCAAATTTTGATTGGATTGTGAAAAGTAGTTTGAAATTTGGTGTAAAACAAAAGTAATTAGCACAACGACATGATATCATCGAGTGCTTAGCACACTACCTTTGAGAAAGAATAAAAAAATGGACATAGAAATGCAGAAGATTCCAACTGTGCCCACAAGTGGCCCAGACAACACATTTCATACCTTGTCATCATTCGTAAACATGCTGGTTTAGCACATCATTTGAGCTTTGCTTCCTAATTTGTATCGTTTTTAAGGACAAAGCCAACTTTTTAGTCTTTGTTCTTGTCGGTGTGATTGCTGGTGCTAGAGACATTGATGCATTTCAGGGATAATAAATACTAAAATCAGTGTTAATTAATTAACTCAAACAAAATTATTTATATCGTGCTAGCGCCAATAAAATTTTGGTTTAATAATAAAGAGAAAGTTTTAAAATAAAAAAGTATTAAGTTCAAATCTTGAATTTAATTATTTAGTTATAGTTTAATTAATTAATTAATTAATAATTATAATATAATATAATAATTAATTATTCAGTTAATTATATAGATATAATATTTCATTATGATTATAATTTAAAATAAACTTTATTTTGAATTCAAGATTTTTAAATCTAAGTTTTGAGTTTAAACTTCTAGAGTTTTTTTTTTTTTTTTTTTTATAAATAAGATAAACTTTTTATGTAATAATTTGTAAGTTAATTTTTTACACATCATAAATGAAAATTTTGAATTTTAAAAATAAGATGAATTCAAAATTTAATTCAATAAATTTACATAATTAATTTTATTTTAGCTGAACATGACATAATTTTTCAAAATTATATTCTTTGTATTTATAAATTTTGGACATCTCATGCTATCTCTTGAGCATTGGAATTAGTTTTCATTCGTAAATCGCACAAATTGTCCCAAGGTAAAAACTTGATGCCTCCTATGTCTTATAGCCGGAACATGCCACCATTAAGTCGTCTAACACAATGTAACTTGGCCATGGAACTCTTTCTCTCCACATGGCTAAAAGCTGTAGCTACAAAAATGTACAAATCCATTAATTTTCGTCCATTTATTTTATTTTGTTTATTTTATTTAATTTTTTCGTTAAAGAATCTGAGAGGAAATAGATTGCTCCAACCCTCCGGATTAGAACGCAGATATTGAGATTGAGATTACTTCATCATTTAATTATAGCATCAAGTTAATCTCTACAGATAAGGATCGAATTCAAGATATTTTTATGGTCACAGATGACATTACCAACTGAACCAATTTAACTTGGTTTCAGTGGTGGCGCACATGATAACCAGAGGAGGCAATCCCCCAAGAATGTTCAAAGTTATATATATACATACATACATATATATATATGGTGATATGTGAAATTTTTTAAATGTATCTTTCAAAATAAATAAATAACACCTACGAAATATAATATTTTTAATTAATTTTTATTTATAACTTTTTAATTCATTGAATCTTCAAAAAAAAATTTAAAAATATCAAAATTCTTCTCAAGATTTAATATTTAAACTTTATATTATATAAGAATAAAAAAATCTATATGAATAATCAGAAGAGTTCAACTTACAACAATGTAAAATTAAAAAAATTTTCTATATTTTTTAATTTTTAATTTTAATAAATCTAAGAGATAAAAGAAATAAATGAAAAATTGAAAAAAATGGTTTGATCTCATTCATTGGATCCACTAAAATAAACGACTACAACAAAATTTAAAATTTTTTTATATAAGTTGACCCCTTCTCATGAATAATAGCTTTTAAATTTAATATATGTTAGTAAGTTGTGAGGAATTTTTTTTTTTGTTACATCATGAGGGTAAAGTCCTAGTATAAATAAAAGAAAGGGAGAGATTTGGTTCGAAATCAGGTCTTTCATGTATCCTCAAGCATCTTTAATTACTAGATTAAAGGCTTTGAGACAATTGTGAAGTTTTTTTTTTTATATAAAATGAATTACTTATTTTTTTTTATAGTGTCAACAAAAAGGTTTAGCCTATTTTGATTTGGGATGGTGTAATTCTAAGTTCTACTCAATTAGAAATTATGCATTAATCATTAAGTTAAATACTAGAGTGTTAATAATAAAAATAACATAGTAAAATATATAAGTTATATTAGGCACCTAAGATTATAATAAGATAAGATAATATAAGATTATAAATAGAATTAAATTAAATAATATCATTTTATTTTATATTTGATGTATGTAAGGATTATGATAAAATAATTTATAGATTTGTTAAAATTATCCTTTTTTAAATTTTATATAATTTAAATTATTGACATAATTTTTAAAAATATAATTGAATATGTAAGTTTAATTCTATGAATTAAAAAAATTTTTTTCCATTTAGAAAAGATTGATTAAAGTCTATGCCAAAATGATGAATCCCTCTAAAATTTTTTATCTTGCATGACAAGATGGCGTAAAATTCACATCAAGTTCACGCAAATGACAAGCTACCAAAATGGGCATATTTTGATCGTGGAGAGCACAACAAAAATGCAGCAAATAGTTTTAAAAAAAGTTTAAAAAAAATAAAAGAAAAATAAAAACCATGGGAATGAAAAATCCCGCGTGAAGAGCTGACTTTTATTACTACCTTGCAAGTTATAACTGACCTTGAAAAAAAAGTTTTCCCTTCATAGAGAAATGAGAAAAACCATCCAACTACTGCCAAGTTGACTGCCAATCGGCCAATAATGGCCAATCATGGCCAATCATGACACGCTTTTTTTAAATGGTCAATTTGTTGGTGAGCTTGCGGTGATAGTTTGTTGTCTTCATAAAAGCATCCGCCCCTTTTATCTCCCTTTTAGATTTTTTATTTTTCTTATTAGCAAATTTTAGTTTCAGTTGCCTTTTCATTCCCATCCCATTTTCCACTTTTAAGTACAAACGTGTCTTCCCAGGTCAGAAAGGCTTGAACTTGATCAATTGTTTGGCCAAAAAAATGGTTTTTTGAACTGGGTATTTGAGATTCTGATTCTTTAAGGAGCATCAGGAATTGGGTTTTGCAGTTGCAGATTTTGGTTCATCCTGATAAATTTAGAACTGGGTATTTGTTATTGGAGATTATTCTATTCATCTGAGGCAGTGAAGATTCTGGAGATTGCAGATGTTTATTTGATGGGAATTTGGCTGTGAAGGATTGGAATCTTTATTTATTTGGTTTTTTTTTTTTCCCTTTCAACGAGAAGAGTTTGTAATTCTTTGTTGTATGGTTGTGTATGCTTGTTGGGTTCTTTCCTGAAAATCACGAGATCATTTACTAATCCATAAAACAGTCACATCTGGATTATTTTTCTTTATAAGTGGTTGCAAACAAGGTTTTTGTTTTCTTTCTTTTTAAGTTCTTAATGATTTGTCTAAGTGATAAAGAACTGTCAACAGGAATTCTTCTCTCAATCCAAGAAAGTGAGATAGTGACAGTTAAAACTTCTCTCAGATGTTTGTGGGAGGGTTTCATCGTTGGTTGTTATTAGTTCGGTAGATGTTAAGGAAATCTTGGGCAGAAAATAAGGATTGTTCTATTTTTTTTCCTCATATTATCTATTTCGCAAGATTTGAGTGGGTTTAAGGATTAGGATTTAGGAGTCTTTTGTCATGCTCCATTATTGAAGTTGAGGGACTTTCTAGGCCTTTAGAACAAACTTGTGATAAAAAAAGCTTGCCTTTGGTCATCAATGGGATTTCTAAGCCTTGTGGGAAATTCCTTTGGATGTTCTGCATCTGGGGAACGCTTAGTTTCCGCAGCAAGAGATGGTGATCTTCAAGAAGCCAAGGCTTTATTGGAATACAATCCAAGGCTTGCAAGGTATTCAACTTTTGGAGTTCGCAATTCGCCTCTCCATTATTCTGCTGCTCAGGGGCATCATGAGGTATCCAATAGCTTAAATTTAACCCAGCAAAAATTTCTTGCAAATTAATCATAATGGCCTTTATTTTTTTTTTTCAATTATCAGATAGTTTCACTCTTGCTAGAGTCTGGAGTAGATATTAATCTGAGGAACTATCGGGGTCAGGTAATTCAATTTTTTATTATCTTACTGAAATTTGTGTTTTTTTTTCCCATCCATGTGGCTTTTGGGGTTTTCTAGACTTATTTTAATTTAGGTTTCATGGGTTACTATTGTTTGTTTTAAGTTTTGTTTTTTAACTGCGATGAACAGACTGCTCTGATGCAAGCTTGTCAATATGGCCACTGGGAAGTTGTTCAGACTCTGATTCTTTTTGGGGCCAATGTAAGACAGTTGCTTGCAAGTTTAGTTTCCTTTATTGCAACAGATCTGTATGGTTTACAAACTTGAGTGGAATAGGATCATGACTAGTTAAGTTTGTGCTGAGGTGGTTCTTAGATTCACAGAGCAGATTATCTTAATGGGGGTACTGCGCTCCACTTGGCTGCCTTGAATGGTCATTCCCGATGCATAAGGCTCGTTCTTGCAGATTATATTCCTAGCATCCCCAATTGTTGGAATATATTAAGGAAGAAATCAAAAAATAAAGAATCTACTTCAGAATTTGATGAGAGGTAAATTTATATGAATCCTCTTTATTTTTTCTTATATCTACTTTTCTGTTTTCATTCATTCTTGTTTCATCTTGATCTTCCAGTGCTCTCCGTGGGGTAATCAATAGACCTGCTGATGGAGGCGTCACTGCTCTTCATATGGCAGCATTGAATGGGCATGTTGAAAGTATTCAGTTGCTCCTGGATTTGGGAGCTTCTGCTAGTGAGGTGACTGTGGAAGATGGAACAACAATTGATCTAATAGGTAATTCAGAGGTGTTGATTACCATATCCTTATTTGTTTCACAGTCTAATGCTTTTGCAGCTAATTGTAATCTAGCTATAACAGCAAAATCATTTTTTGCTGGCTGTTTAATTGTGCATTGCTCTTTTCTTATGTCCATCAGAGTCCCCTCCTCCCCCCTCCTTTTCTCTCCTGCCTCAGTTTTCTTTGTTCAATAGTTGTTGTACCTCACTTGCTCTTCTTTTTTCCCTTCTTTTCCGTTTTGTCTTTCTTTTTTTCCAAGCTGCTAGGCCATGTCAATATCTGGCTGGATTTCCTGTCTGTTGGTAGTTTGGTGCACTTCTTCTGCCTATCTGCTAAGAATTTGTACATAAACACTGTCAGCAGTTAGTTCCACCTATGGCATTTTTATATTCATTAGTAGAGCCTAATAAACAATGCGATCAGACTCCAGGGCGTTTTAGGTGATCATATAGAACATTATGGTTTATGGATATGAAAACTTCAAATTGTATTGAAATAGAAAATCTTCCCTCCTGCACCCCTAGTTTTCTCCTTTTTGTTTTCTTGATATTACCATTATTTTCTTCTAAAAACAATACAACAGCATCACTACATTCGCCACCTTGCAGGTGCAGGGAGCACTGCTCTTCACTATGCTGCTTGTGATGGAAATGCACAATGCTGTCAGGTATGTTCTTAGTCTCTGCAGCATCACAGCCATAGAAAAGAAGGGAAAAATGCAACAAGAAGAAACTAAATCATCTATCAGTATCATTCATGCTGAAGATTTCTTTTTTATTCCAATTTTTAATTTGATGTATGGTGGTTCAGATTTTGATAGCCAGGGGTGCCAGTGTTACTGCTACAAATGCAAATGGGTATGTTACTGTGACTCTTATTATGTTTGAATGTTATGCTTCATTTGTTACTTTTAGCAATGGTATTTTCATTTGGAAAAAAAAATGCATAAATTGCGTTTTTGAGGCTAAAAGCTTGGATTGTAGCTTCTGCTAAAATGCACAAGTAACTAAAAATATGTTTTTGTTTCTCAAAAGTAAAATGCTAGAATAAAAATTATACTAAACTGCTGCCTTGATAAGAGTGGCTACTACAAGGTGGAAAGCCTTTAAGCAGAAGTGGTTATCTATTGGCATCTTGATTGGAATTTTGGAGCACGTAATGACATAACTGCTATTTTGAATGGTCTTTAAAAGATAGACTGAAGGTTTTCAGAGTTTAATTATCTTCCTGCTCTCTCTCCCCTTCTCACTCCCTCCCTAAGGAATTCTTTTCTTTTCTGTGTCTCTCTTGAGTCTCTCTTTCTGACCTGCAGACCAATTTTTTGCAGTTATGGGTTACAAAGATATGAGGATTAGAAAGAAGCAAGACTAAGACAGTGTGCCAAAAAAATGCTAACCGGAAGGTTAAAAATATTTACCCAAGGCTAGTGAAACTTGCCATGTGGTGGAGTTTTCTCCATAGTTTGCAACTAGAGTGGTTATATTGAGGAAATATACATTTTGATTAATGAGGCAAAGGATCTATGTTTCACCACGCGTGATTATGCTTGTTCCTCCTAAACATGTTTCATTGTTAAAATATCACCTGATAGGTGTATATTTTATGTCTGTGGTGGTCATTTTTCATTTTTTGTGGTAAAACTATGATGTCATTTAAAAAGGAAGGTGTAATGCAATATTTAATCTGACCTATAGGATTTACTTTGTACCATCTTAAAAGTTTCACCGTCATATTGTGATTACACCATAAAACCTATGGCATGTAGAATTTTTTCATATATTTTGATGAAAATTGCAGTTCATTGGCAACTGTAATTAATCAAAAGCTGAAATCCTATTATAAAATTAACCTTTGGAACATAACAAGTGAGATGCCTGGATGTCACATTATTGTTTGCTGCTTCATGAAGCTCATTGCGATAACCTTTTTTTATATGTTGTTATTACTTTTCTAAACCTTGCCTTTATTTATAATCAGATGTTACTTATTCTTATTTTTCAATTATTACCTCAAGGTGGACTCCCTTAATGGTCGCCCGTTCATGGCGTAAAAGTTGGCTTGAGGAAATCCTTAACACTCAGCCTGAAGGCCAGTCACAAGCTCTTCCTTCACCCTTTTTATCTCTTCCCCTTATGAGCATTGTTAAAATTGCTAGGTGAGTGAAACTGTGCTATCTGTTCCTATTTAACGTTGTTGCATCAATTCTGAGCCGTAGACTCTTGTATAACCTTGTAGAGACTTTTAGTATTTGCATTTGATATGTCAATCTACGAACTTCAATCTTAAAGACTGCAGTTTGTTAATTTTCTAGCTCATTAGGTTGGAGTGCTCATACTTGGTCAGAAATAGAGACCAAGGTATTTGCTATCACCAATCACTCAAATTATACTGCTGGCTATTGGGCCAAGTTCTTGGTTTCCTTTATATCTGGTAGACAGGAGTTTTACTTCTGTGGAAACTGTCAGTATGTTAGACTGAAGTGGCAGGAGTCTGCTTCTGGACATTATGTTAAGTGCTAACTTAATGATGTTTCTTTGGGAGAGATAAAGGTAGACGGAGTATGTCTCTTTTAGTGAGGTGGAAGTGGAAGAGAGGTACAGGATGATGCTTAGTAATGGAAGCACAATAAGATTTGGGGAAAGACACTGGAGCAGATGCACTTGGTATCTATAGTTTAAACAATACTAGCTCAACAAGTGCTTCAACATTATTGAATTTTGGTAACTGGTAACAACTAACACATTTCTGCAGAATATCTCCTATCAATAGTGGAATTTTTTTCTCTGTGATTCAGGTCATCCAATGATAAGTTAGTTTTTAGATTATATTCTAAATACTGCATGATATTGTCTAGAATGCTTTATGCTTCTGCTATGAGGTTTTTAAGTCATTGGCTTTCAAATCAGCTCTGAGATTATCTTCTTGGTTGCGATCAATTTCCAGGCCTTTTAAACTAGATCAACTTCTTCCATGAAATTTTAGAACAAAATGCTGCTGATTGTCTATTTTTACCTCATGTACTATGAAGTGTTTCCTTCACTTTATTTACTCCTTGCCTGTTCCCCTTTTAATTTTCGAGCTATTTAAAACCCAACATGATCGACAAACAAACATGAATTGTAGAAAGGCTTTAGCATCTGTCTCCCAAAGTTTGCTGACAAATAATCTTTTGCCTCACAGTAATTGCCTAGTTTTGTTTTTTTGCTTTAATGTCTATGGTAATTTTAAAACAAAATGAAAGGAACAAAAAAGAAAAAAAGATTGGCGAGTTTCATTTTTTTTTATTATGTGGTATATATCTATTAAGCATTATGCAATATTAAATTATACTTTTCTTAAAAAGAGTGAAAAGTTTGAATTCAAGAATTTGTGTTACAATTAAAGGGATTCAAAGTGTTAATATATATATATATATATGAAACTGGCTAGATCTACGTTGTCTTTAGATTTTGCATTAGTTGGATTTAGATTTGCTTTAAGTCGTGAATTAAAATTAAATCATTGGGTTTTCACTTTTTGTTGCCTTATTTTATATTACATTGCATACTTTCAATTTAAAATAACATTGTAACTGATCACTTAGTGACATGTCATTAAGAGGTTTCTTTTTGATGGTGCTACACTCGTAGTGAAATGGAATTTTAAGTCAGTTTCAAATATTTGTTTTCAGATAGTCTAGGCATCAGTTGATTGGATAAAAGCCACATAATCGCTCCTAACTTATGGTGTCAGTTAAATGACTTAAAAAAAGCCACATTGAACAACAATAAAAGATAATTCATGTATCAAGTTGAAAAAATCAACAGTCTCTGTGTTGAGGTATAAAATTAACTAGTTTGAGATCCATTTCTGTATTTATCCCTTCTTAGCTTATATATATTGCTATATTGAGATACAATGTCTGAGTAGTAACTCCCTGCTGCACAAAATTATGCTTTATGTTCTCATTAAGAAACCTGTTTTGATTGCGTCTAGCTGTTGAAATCAAATCTGGGGTGAAGGTGACCTATGCTGTTGAACGGTGATCCCTATCTAGAAAAAGAGCAGGAATTTTGGCAATAAATAACTTAATGTTGCTGCTTCTTGCAATTGATAAGAGAATAAAACTATATTGGATAAAAACATAATGTTTTCAGCCTAGTTCTTTTCAAAACTTTTGATTTAACAATTGCTTATACATTCACAGAAAGATAAACGCAGGAAAATGGATATATGTATGGACATGCGTTTGTTAAGTATGTGCTGCCAATGAGCATGTATTTAGAATATTATGGCTACTGGATGTCACCATCAATTTTTCTGCCGAAAAACTTGGTTACATATCAAATGAACTAAAGCTTTTCTCCCTTCTTTGTCCTGTCAAGAGAATGTGGATGGAGGACTGGTGATTCCTTACCCTCATGCCAAGATCCATGTGCTGTATGTCTGGAGAGGAAATGCACGGTGGCTGTCGAAGGTAACTTAATTTATCTTTAAATGTAACAAATCTTGCTATAACATATATATCTGTTTAAGTGGCTAGCATCATTGTAATCTATGGGATATATGCATTGATGTGGGTATTATTGGTAAGGAGTGTTTTATGTTAACTATGATTATTGTGTGTGCTGCTGTATCAGAATATTTTTTATTTATCATCCATATTGTACCCAGGAAGATGAAGGGATGAAAATCTTTCACCGAATTTCTAATATTAAAATTACATATTATTACACATGTTGTTCATTAATTTGTCTTAGACACACACACATGCATAGAAACTTTTTTCTACATGCACAAACCGAGGCCTTGGATGGGCTCATGCTTTTAAGTAGTGAGGTTGAGATGAAATAAGTGATGATTTCACCGTGTGTAGGCTATATTGTTGCAATTATAAATTTGTGATGGTATGGATTTGACGTAAGTTTCAGCCATGTAGGTTAATTGAAGTGGTGTTACATATTTTTTAGAGAAGTAGTGACAGTGATGATTTGCTAGGTACTGATACTAACACACCTAATCAGTGGAAGGGGAGGAAAGAGCTGGAAAGGACAGAGACATATTTATGCTAAAAGGCAATTATGTATTTTTTTAGATTTGAGATTAAGATTTGCGATATTCTTTTGTGAACATTCTGCGCCAGTTATTTTGAACTAGTAAAACATATAGCATGAACCATCTCATTATTGAGACATGTAAATCAGGTTATAAGTGTCCCATGATGCAGGTTGTGATCACGAATTCTGCACCAATGTGCCTTATACCTCTGTTCTACAAATAACACCTCAAATGTTGCTCAGGTCCAACAGGCTCAATTGCCTGTCCCTCTTTGCCGGCATGGGATAGTATCATTTGTCAAGCTCCCAGGAACAAAAGCAACAGTTAAGGCAGTTGCAAGAACGAGTCTGTCCCTATCTTTCTGCACATGTTCTAGTGAGATACCAGAGTCAACTTCAATGACAACCCCGCTTTGCAAGCCTGAGGTCCATTGCACACGAATTTCCCCCTTTGGGTCTTCGTTCCGCAGCATAAGCTGCCAGACTTTCCCATCGATGAAAATCCACTCCAGCCTTTGCATGGGAGCTCCAAACACTAGTCCTTCTTTAGTTCCCTGTTATGCTGACCGGAATCTGCGAAATCACTTGGCTATGTGCTCAAGATCGGGCTTAAGACGCTCAGCTTCTGAGGGCCGAAGGTCATGGTTTTCGGCTCTTAATCAATGTGTACCTACGGGCAGTGGGTTCTGAATTTTTTTCTAATATCCCATATGATAGATAATATTCTCCTTTATTTGTAATTGTAATATGTTGTTAATAATGATTCCTGGTTGTGTAAATCCCAAACATCTCTTAGCAGTATTATAAATTTCACGCAAATTTATTTATTTAGTTGTTTATTAAAAAGAGTTGGATATTTAACAAATTTAATATAAAAAAAAATCGAAAAATATATATGCATGAAAATATTACAATTACATCCTTAATTTTTAATTTATTCTTGAATTCATCTAACTTTCTTTTCCATTAGCTTTAATCCCAGCACGAATTATATACATAAATTAAAAATTAATATTAATATTGGTTGCATGATGCATTAATTACTAAAATGGAAGTCAATGGATTTTAAAATAAAGGATTAAATGCATTGAAATCAAGTAGTAACACCTTTCAGATTTTAGTATATTAACAAAATTTTACTTAATATTTTCTTTAAATTATATATTAGCTGACAAATTAATGTTATTGACGGGATTTTATCCATAATTTATTTTCATATTTTGGGTGATTTTGAGTTATTTTTCTTCCAAAAACAAAAAGATTTTAAGAAACATTACATCACTTACAATTATATATATTATTATTTACTATTTATATCTTTTGTAAAGATTGAATAAACGTATAATTTAAACAATTTTGTGAAATATAGCGATTGTCAAAGTGATTTATTTTGGTAAAAACAGAAGAGTTGATTCCAGAGGTCAAAATTAATTGATTTTTTTTTACATTAAATTAGGTATTTATACATAGGAATTAATACAAACCAATATATTTGTAAAATATATAACCACAAAGCAATTGATCACCATACAGAACATCGGACACAAACTTCTTGATCTGCAAAAAGTTCATTCTTGAAAATTTTGCACTTCATTCACGACCAAATCAAAACTAGAAACTCCTATAAAAATTACAGCCAGCAACTATAAGCAAAAATAGCAACTTATATACACAACATTACAACGAGTACTTGATTTTTATTTCATGGTAAAGCTCAGGAGGAATAGATAGAAAGAGAAGAGATGGGAGGATTGATCAAGATAAAAATAATAACATAAAATTAAAACAAAAAGAGAAACACTTAAAATCCTAATACAAGAACTAAAAAGCCTTGCAAGATCAAGAAACAAATAAAATTAAAAAAATAAAAATAAAAAGCTCAGTGAGGATAGCACCGTCAAAATCTTAATGTCTGCTTCATTTTACACTTGTGATGAAACCCTTGGCATAAACGGAAGTTTGGCTCCATTGAAAGTAATCTGATCTTGACCATCAGAGAGCGTAAGAAAGATTAGACAGAAGGAATAAGGATTTGAGAAAATCATGCAAATTTTATGACGGAAGAGCAAGCAGTGCTGTGATATTAATAGGCAAGAAGAAGCGATGCTTGTTGAAAAAAGAGAGGAAATGGATGATAACCAGAAGGTGCTGAAATTCCAAAAATATGATTAGTTTCCAGCAAAGAGTCAAAAGAAAGCCTTATCAGATACGTGACCCAAAACCAAAAAAAAAAAAAAAAGTCTATGGAAAGTGGAAACTGTCTTTCTTCAATCTAATGCTCTTTTTTCCTTTGTACCCATTTTTTAGTTTAAAGTAAGAAAGAAGACTTTCTATTTTCTAGTCGTTTCCCTTCTCTCTTTCTTCCCGCATGAGGTGTCTACCATTATCAACAATAAAAACGGTGATTGATTTGAGAGGAGGTGAAACAAAGTACAGGGAATAGCAGTGCATGCAACGTGACTTAACCCTCACTATTAGCATCTGTCTCTGTCTCTTTCCTCTGTTTTCACATCTTTTGCCTTCTCAGTTACGTTATTTTAGAAGAATAAGGAGCGTGGGAAGTCGAATTTTCAAGGTTTTCTTTTGATAAAACAGAAAATAATGCTAGTAAGAAGAAAAAAAGAAGGGGGCCGATTGACCTTTTGTCCATGTGATGCAATCAATACGTCAAAAAGAAGAATGGTAACATGCAGCCTTGCTCTGTCTTTTTCTCGCCGTTACCTCTTGTATACAAGTCTTCCAAAACCTTCCTTAATTCCAAATTTGTTTTTGAATAATCTGTCCACATTGACTGTAATTTCCAATAATTTCTCCGACAGTTTTCACCATCATTTAATTCAAAACCTTAGTACAAACACTAATGTTCTAGCCTGGGTGCTTTCCCACATGTATTTCTCTATTAACAATTCTTTGCATTTGCCATATGCATTTGATGATGAGTGTTTAATGAATTCATATGAAAACAGTTTTTGTAGTAATTAAATAACCCTGGAATCAAAATAACCTTGAATGCTAATGACACTTTAAATTTCAGCCAACAGGCAGCCATCGATTTTATCCATCCAATTCCAATATGAAAACAAACGAAGCAAAACCAGGAGTACATGTTTGTTCGCACCATAGGCAGGGCAGTGTTTTGAGCGCTTCTCAAAGATAAGGTACACGAGTCTTGGAATGACTTATGAGCACACAAAAACCAATGTTAGATAGACTGGCAAAGAAGATCTTTTGGCGTTGATTTTTATTTGGTGATAAATACACATAAAACAGCTTTGCGATTAGAGGATGATGACAGGCAGATTAGATAATAATTCTCCAGTTTCTTGCCATTGTATTTTCCATGGAACCCTCATGTTCATCATGAGTTAGAATAGGAACTAGGGTTTATTGGCCCGTCTTTGCTTCAAATCTTGGTGATAGGAAGGAGCCATTATTCCAGGGTAACATACTATACTGTAAGAAGGAAACTTCAGGCTCCACGCTCCTCCTAAACAAAGTGCCCTGCACTTCTTCTCAAAACAGATGGCGATGGAATTTTGAACACTCCAAGAGAAAAGAGAGTGGTCATTTTTTCTGCCATTTACTCTTTGTAATCATCACAAACTTTATGATTTGACAATACCTGGTCAAGTCATCTCTCTCTCTCTCTCCATCTCTCATACTTGTTTTATATTGACGTTGTTGTTTTTGTCTCTTCTCCATCGAGGAAAATCGCCTACGTAAGAAAGCAAAGATTGAAAGCATAATACTAGTAGCTGCTAAAGCTATCTACCCCATAAAAATGCTAGGTACACAGCTGCTGGGGGCTCGGGGTACCCCTCTCCTGCCCCCGCATGTGTGAGCGTTAGCTTTATTCCATCTTACAAATTAAAGCTCTCTGACCTTTCTCTGTGTCATAGTCTCGCCCTTTTCTCTCTCAATTTCAAGATTTGCACCGTCGTAAGGGGTAATACTTCAAGCATCTGTTGTTGTGGTCCGTGTAACCGCCTGCAGTATACAAATTTAATTTTTTTCCCCAGTGAGGGTGGGAGGGTAGGTGGGAGTGTTAACTCCTCATATTTATTGCCTATTTGCCCTGTTGGCTTTGCATGTTTTTCCCACGTTGAGGATTACCCACACTATTCAGCATTGCTTTTTTTTTTCATTATTGCCTTTCAAAGATAGAAACCAGTTTTTGCAGTAGGCTATATATATGATTACAGTGCCAAGTTATAAAACTGTAAAAAACCATTCCGCTTAGACTATATTTATCAATGGAGAGGAGAGAAGCACTGACCAAGTATAGAGGAGAGGCTCAGCTGGCAGGTAAACACTGAAAAGAAAGAAGAGTTCACACAAAGGAGGCTCACGAGACAGTGTTTGGACACAAATTGAGAGGCATTGATGTAATCAGTGTTGGCTGAATAATAATAGCGTTATGGCCCAAAGAATATGTACATTCTGTATTGGCAGCAGGGAATTACATAGCATGGGTTTTTATTTTTAGAGAGGACGATGACACTTGTTGGTCTAGATTCTGGACGCCCCCCCCCCCCCCCCCCAGTTGCCACTAGGCCTGCAAGCTCACCCTCTTTTTTGTTCAAGTAGATTTGGACTTTGGACACGTATTCTATAATTTTTGGGCAGGTTTGAAACTTTAAACAAAAGAAAGTTGGGCTTGAAAGTTGCCACCTTATGGACAGTACTAAAATGCTGGGTCGTGCTTGACTCCGCTCAACAGGGAGTGACTGAAACTGAAAAAAGGGGTCATAAGCTTCGGTATCAGCCATGTGATATGCGAAGCCCTTATAGGTTTTGACCCCACTTTATGTCCTTGGAATGGGTCATGATCTTAGGTCAGGGCCATCAGGCTGAGCTCAGCTTTAAACTTTAACTCGGAGCCCAATCCTGAGGATATCCTCAAAATTTCCAGATGAATTGGAAATGGTGGCGCCAACCATGCAAGGGACCAAGATTTTAAAAGAAAAAGAACCTGAGCGACTCCATCAAACCTTTGCCATAATCCATAAAATTTTTGTTCTTATATCTTATTATGTCACACCAAAGTTAGCAAAGGAAATCCAAAAAAAAAAAAAAAGAAACTTGAAACCCGAAACTCATCTGGTTACCTCCGGCTTCTTTTATTTCTCTATTGTTTTTCCATTTCATTCTCTTCCTAGCACCAATCTTCTGTGGTTGTTAACACCGGTCACCATCAACAACAGTCCATTCCTATTGATAAGTCTTCGCTCATTGCTGCTGAAACGGCATCGGAGGACGAGCTTTGGGCAGCTGCTTGTCTCCGTGTTCGCTCCTTCTATGACTTCCAGGCCTCCTCCTATGGCATCCAAGTGAGACTTTCTTTCTTTCTTTCTTTTTCATAAAAAGGAAAAAAGAATTATTGGGTGTCTTTTGTTTTTCACTGGAGAGGCATACAAAAGGGTCAACGCAAGAAAGTGAATTGTTTAATTAATGATTTGATAGTAATTTGTTTTAGGGCATTTTAGAAGTTATGAAAGCTTTCAAGGATTGTAGATTTTGATGTTACTCAAAAGGGAGTTTCTTGTTATCTCGTTAATAGCAGAAAGATAGAGTTTTTTTTATTGCGTCAATGCCATTTCAAATTTGTGATTAACAGAGGTCCTCCGGAATTGAAGCTGCTTAAGTTGTGATTAAAAAGGAAGACAAATGTTTCGTGAATGATTTTAATTTTTCTGTCTCTTCTCCTTTTAAGATGATGTTGATGGTATTTTGTCCGTTTCAAGTATTAGGATCATAAAAGATAGTTGGCGGAACGTGAATTTGAAGCACTGAAGGAAAGAATTGCTGGGAAGCAGGAGGGCTTTAAGGGACTTTCTTGCATTAATGCTACGCTTCCATTGCCACTGTTGTCAAGCCCTGCAAATGATTTATTTGCCGCATGTAAGGTTTGTTTGCCTTCTTTTTTTTTTGGATACTACTTACAATGCTTTAAATGTCATGTTGGCATATTAGTGCAATTATTTTGATCTGTTTTGGGCTTATAACAAGATGTAAGGTGTCATAGGTTCCTCTCAGGAGAATCTCTGTTATAATGATGTGTACTGCAAATTCGAGGCATGAGAAATGCCTTTAAACTCAATATATTATGTTAGGATATTTGATGTCTTTTTTGTCATTACTGGACAGCTACTAATAAAGACAATGTTTTAAATTTGTGCTTTTGGAACCAAATCAAATTGAACTCTAGGCATAATTCGCAAAAATATGATTTTTCAGAAAGAAAAAGAAAGTAGCAACATGGAGAAAATACAAGAACCATGCAGAAAGGGATAGTTCTCATTTGCCAATATCCTACAGTTCAACTGGTGTCCCTGCAGATATGAAAGGGTTATGAGGGAAAAAAATGGAAGAGGATTATTACCTTGGCATTTAAATCTTTTAAATAAAAACAGATGAGTTCGGGATAATGTTGAATCTTCTGTAAACAGTAACTTGTCTCTTTAGCTAGTTCATATAATCCTAGTAGCTGAGATATTCCAAGTCACCATATTAGTGATCTTGCAGACATTGAGCAGATCTCCTTGTGGATATATTTGTGCTAGTTAATTTTCTTTTTTATAGCTTCATTTGTGTGTAATTCAATTCTCTGATGGTTTATGTCAGGAAAAAAAATTCTGTGTTTGAAATTATGATTTTGCAACAAAGACGTGTTAGGCTCTTCTATGTTCTTTTATCAGTTTTAATCCCCTATTGTCAAAGTTCTGCCCCTTGTTTTTAATAAAATCTGAGCTGCAGAAGTTTTAGAGAAAGTAATGCCTTGTTGATTGTTGTTTGCATACTCTCTAACATTATTTTTTTCTCCTGTTTCTTATTTAGTTTACTTGCAATGGATAGGATAGAGTTGTAGTTGTAACCCTTGATCTTAACCAATGTCTTTGGCTTCCAGAAGAAATAGCTGGAACAAAACTAGAGGTATTTCATCATATATCAAGATTTTTCTGATGTTATTTGTGTGGTTATTTAGTCATCTATATAGTTTTTGGTGCTAAGGCTTCTTAATTATTCTTAAAAACAAGAACAACTTATTTATGATTTACGTGAGGCTGATGCAGCCTGTCTTGATACAGAACAAGAAAGTCTCTCAAAGAAGAAGTTTTGAGAAGAAGAAGACAGAATTTTTTAGGAGAGAGAAAAAGATAATTCCATTCCATGATTTGCACCAGATTTGCACAATATCCATTATCGTTTTTTGTGTTGTCAGTTCTCTCCTCCGTCATAACAGTAATAACATAGTAAGAAAATGGGCTCTGTTAAATACAGGCTTATAGGAATAAAAGGAGTTTAGTAAAAATAAGTCCAGTAATAATAGTAAATAAAACCAAAATATAAACCAACTGTAGTCCAATCATCTGAGCCTGCAACAATACCCTCTCCATCAAAAAGATCCTTAGTCCTCAAGGATCTAAGGCAGGATACTTCTGCTGCAACTCGAACAAGCTTTTCCAAGTGGCATTTTCTGGGAAGGAATTAGACCACTCCACCAGAACTTCCGTGATAGTCCTGTTACCCTTCTTGACCATTCTCCTATCTAGGATCTTGGTAGGTCTTTCACCATTGTTCGATCTTCTCCAACAATAGGTAAATTAGATTGGACCATGGAACTGCCAACATGTTTTTTCAACTGAGACATATGAAATGTAGGATGGATTTTGGAACCAACAGGTAATTGCAGTCTATAATCCACTTGACCTACCTTTTCCAAGATCTTGTAAGGTCCAAAGAATTTGGCAGCAAGCTTGTTGTAACTTCGATTCTTCACTATCTGCTGTCTATAAGGTTATAACTTGACATATACAAGATCTCCTACTGTAAACTCCCTGTCACTCCTCTTTTTGTCAGCCATGTTTTTCATACTTGTATGTGCTTTGGATAAATAAAACTTCATCTGGCAGCTTCTCTAGCTTGTAAGCTTCTGTCCACCGTTTCCACCAAGGAATCTCCTGCCAGGTAAGGCAAATGCAATGGAGGGGGTTGTCCATAGACTGCCTCATAAGGAGAGGTGTTTATAGCAGAGTGATGGTTGGTATTATTCCACCATTCTGCTAATGGCAGCCACCTACATCGTAAGTATGTCTCTAAGCACCTATTAACTACCTCTGTCTGCCCATCCGTTTGTGGATGATGAGCTGTAGACATGTTGACAGAAGTTCTATGTATTTTGAATAACTCTTGCCAAAATCTGCTTATAAAAATTTTATCCCTATCTGAGACAGTGGAATTAAGCATGAATATATTGTCCATAAACGCTTGAGCTACTGACAAAGCAGTGGAGGGATGAGAAAGCGCCACCAAATGAGCATATTTGCTCAACCTGTCTACCACCACCAGTATAGTATCCTTGCCCTGTGATTTAGATAGACCTTCAATAAAATCCATAGGAATGTCATACCAAATTCGGTCAGGTATAGGAAGTGGTTGGAGAAGTCTTGGTGATGCTGAGTTATCATATTTGCACTGTTGACATACAATACATTGTTGAACGAACCTCCTTTCATCTTTTTTGAGACCTTTCCAGTACACAATACTGCCAATTCTATTCATAGCAACATGAACTCCCGAATGCCCACTAGTTGGACTGCTATGATAATACTGCAAAAGTTCATGTCTCAAAGCTGGTGCTAGTCCCACAACCAATTTGGCTTTTCTCCTCAATTGGCCTCCATTCCAAGTATATTGAGAGCTGGTGGATGCTTTAGATTGCAGTTCTCCAATCAACTTTTGCAATCTTGAATCCTGCTTCCAGGAATCCTGAATTTTATTAATAAATTAGTGTTCATAGCAAAAATTGCCATTAATTGAGTTGACTTAAACTCAGGTCTTCTTGATAAAGCATCAGCCACGGTATTAAATGTGCCTTTTCTATAAACCACTTCATAATCATACCCCATCATCTTTGCTATCCAGACCTGCTGTGCCAGAGTTGTTGCTTGCTTAGTGAGTGGAAACCTTAAACTCTGATGATCTGTTTTGATAACAAAATGTTTACCAGATAAGTGTGCGTTTCACTTCTTAACTGCCATAATCACTGCCATCATTTCCTTCTCATACACAGAGAGAATCTGATGCTTAGTTGATAATGCTTTGCTGAAATATGCAATAGACCTTCCATCTTGAGTCAGTACAGCACCTACTCCCAAGCTAGAGGTATTGGTCTCAACCATGAACACCTTGCCGAAATCAAGAAGGGCTAAAACTGGAGCTGTGGTCATAGCAATCTGCAATTTTGTGAAAGATTCACTTGTTGATTCATCCCACTTGAAAGCATCCTTCGTAAGTAAATCTGTCAATGGTTTAGCTAGCAACCCGTACCCTTTAATAAACCTTCTGTAGTACCCTGTGAGTCCAAGGAATCCCGTCAATTCTTTGACATTTTGAGGTTGAGGCCAATTCAAGATACTCAGAACTTTTTCTTTGCTCATTTCAACTCCTTTGTCAGAAATAACATGCCCCAGATATTCAACTTCTGTAGCACTAAAGACACTTATTCTTTTCGAGGAATAATTTGTTAGTTCCCAGAATCTCAAAAATCATTCTCATATGTTCTAAACGGCTGCAAATATCAGTGGAATATATGAGAATGTCATCAAAAGAATAATAATACAAATTTCCTCAAGTAAGATTTAAAAAGACAGTTCATAAGACTTTGAAAGGTTGATGGTGCATTTGTAAGGCCAAATGGCATAACTAGAAATTCATAATGGCCATCATGAGTTCTAAAGACAGTTTTGTAAATGTCGCCTGATGCATTCTAATTTGATGATAACCAGACCTTAAATCAAGTTTAGAAAAAAATTTTGCACCATGCAACTCATCAAGTAACTCTTCCACCAGTGGAATAGGAAACTTGTCTTTAATAGTGAGCTGGTCAAATTGCCTATAATCAACACAGAGCCTCCATGATCCATTCTTTTTTACCATCACAATTGGAGAAGCAAAGGAGCTGTAACTGTGCCTGATGATCCCCGAATCCAGCGTCTCTTTGATCTTTTTGTCAATCTCATCTTTTTGTATGGCAAGCTATCTATAGGGTTTAATCCTAACTAGTTGACTCTCATCTTTAAAAGGGAATTTATGATCATGAGATCTGTAGCGAGGTAGTCCTCGAGGAGTCTCAAACAAATCAGCACATTCCTTTAACTCTTGCTCAAAAACAACACTATCAAAGGATTGGTTACCTGATATCTTAGTGATAACATTTAACTGAATTTGGTTGCTAGTAGCGAGTAATAAACAACAAGGATGAGCCTTCTGACCGATAGTCAATGGTTGCAGCAGCTTAATAGTCTTTTTTTCATTGGCTAAATCTAGCATACCAGGTTGTATACCCTGTAGTTTCCTCCAGCTACCTTGATAAGGAAATTGCATGGTCAAAGAAGGAAAATCCCATACATAGGCCCTAAGGTTTTCAATCACTATACTCCAAGAACAATGTCACATCCTTTCAAGGCTAAAACCATGAATCAGCTGTGAAGACAGACCCAAAGAAAGACCATTGCAGCTTTTGACATAAACCTGCAGTTTGCACCTTTTCACCATTTGCTATGGTTACTGCCACTTGATGGTTCTGTCTAGTAGATATTCCCAATGCTTTAACTACTGAGATGTCTATGAAATTGTGAGTATCACCAGAGTCAACTAGCATCACCAATTTATGATTCTTAAGTACCCCATCTATCATCATGGTCTGAAATCCCGATGTGCCTTGTATATCGTGCAAAGACAAAACAGGTTGTTCCCCATTGTCATTTTCAGTCAACACTTCAGGGTTATCTGTGCAATCTGAGAATTCTTCTGCCTCATAGTCCTCTTCTCACCCTTCAATGAGAAGTTGATATGGCTGTGATTTCATACATTTGTGACTAGCTGAATATTTGGTTCCGCACCAATAGCAAAGCCCCTTTTTTCTCCTTTCATTCATTTCAGCTGGAGTAGGCCTTTTACTAATGGTCTTGGAGTTATTGGTGCTACTATTAAGGAAATTGGATCGATTGGTATGTTGGTTTGGAGTTTTGAAGTTGTCAGTGTTGACTAAATCGGAGTTACGTGGAGCTTCTGGAGTTGGCAACAAGAGAGGTGAGGTACTGTTTTTAGTAGAGACAATACTGGTAGAATGGTATGAAGATGGAAAAGATGATTTAGGAACTACAGTGGTTCTTTTTAAGTTGGGGTGGATGTTAGTCTCAATCTGTTTGGATAAATGTAAGGCTTGATGTAAGGTTGTGGGTCCAAACAATCTAATAGTCTGGGATATATCTGGTTTTAAGTTACTGGTAAAAATACTCAGGGCTTAGGAATCAGATAGTTGCAGCAAGTTAAGAATACCAATAAAATCTTCATAAAATTGTTCAACAGAGGAAGGTTGTTTGAGTTCTACTAGTTCAGCCATAGGATCCTCATACTCCTTAGGTACCAACCTGTCTTTCATATCTTGAATATACCCTGCCCAGCTCAATTTTTCAAATCCCATTGAGACCTAGTATAGTATTGATGCCACTGTAAAGCTTTTCCTTCCAAGCTCAACGTTACTAGTCTCACCTTGCTACTTTCAGGTACCTTCTCAGCTTCAAAATACTGTTCTAGTTTCATAAACCAGCCCCTAAAGTCCTCACCATTAAACTTAGGACAATCTCATTTAAAGATTCTAGATGAATCAGAAATAATGTACCTGTTTTGGGCTGTAACCAGTGGATTGTTTAAAGGCACCTCAGTTGCAGGAGACTTATCCACTTTATTGGAGGCTATTTCCTTTCCTGGCCTTTTCTCCGGTCCACTCACTGAAGCTTGGTCACCCTCAAGTCCACTTGACACTGAGTTTTTTTCCCTAGAAGCCATAGTCTCTAGAAACTATTTGAGTTCTAATCACATTTCAGTAAACTGTATATCCATCTTGGAATCTAACTGATCAATCTTGGAATCTAACCGCTGCATCTCCACTTGGAGCTTAGAAACATCTTGTTGTATTTGTTGAACCTCTTTCTGGAGTCGCGTAGAAATTCCATCTGCCATTGTTGCCAGGTTGTGGCTCTAATACCAAATGATGCAACCTGTCTTGGATACATTACAAGAAAGTCTCTCAAAGAAGAAGTTTAGAGAAGAATAACACAGAATTTTTTAAGAGATAGAAAAGATAATTCAATTCCATGATTTACACTAGATTTGCACTATACCCATTTTCCTTTTTTGTGCTGTCAGCTCTCTCTTCCCTCATAACGGTAATAACATGGTAAGAAAATGGGATCTGTTAAATACAGGATTTACAGGAACAAAAAGAAGTCTAGTAAAAATATGTCCAGTAACAATAGTAAATAAAACCAAAATATAAACCAACTGTAGTCCAATCTTCTAAGCCTACAACAGAGGCTATGTATAATGCTTCAAGAGTGGCATGTTCCACAACAATTTGCACTCAACCTACAAATTTCATATTGGATTGCACCATCCAAATTGTGGATTGTTCGTAGACAATTGATCCATTCAAAATGCTAAAGGACCTAATGACAGAAATACAAAATCATACTTAGAAATGAAATTTGTTTTATAAGATAGCTAATTGATTAAAATAATATGAAACTACAACTAAATTACTATAAATATGTTGCTCCCACTCTTCATTTTCCTTTTAGTATCCATGTCCGACAAATCTGACAAACATGGGTATGGAGGTCCAACCATTGAACTTACTCATGTCGAATACATACTCTTTTTCAACATTCACTCCCAAGTTTGAGTAATGTCGTCTAGAATTACTAATGGAGCTTAATTAATTTAAAATTCATGAATCCACTTAAACTAGATGGAAAAGAAAATTACCCCACCATTACTGCCTAGTAGCTTAGGTTCTAGGAACTAAGTTCACTATATATATTAAGAACAATGTGGATGAATTTTATCATGCTATAAGATTTGGTAGAGGTTCTGGTATCGAAATGATTTATTTATTTATAAATTGATCTATATTTAGAGTCTGTTTTGACAGGGGATTGAAGCTGATTTTGCAAGAGCATACTTGAGCAACGTTATGTGTTGCAAGGGAACTGCATAGAAATGGCTTAGGTTTTGAAACTGTCATGAAATCAAAGATAGTGGCTGAAGAATGGGATAACATCTTTTATATTTATCTTCTATGGTGGTTCTGCCCTGGCCATAATCATCTTGCATTGATGAAACAATTGCCTGGACAGTCTGTTGCTAACTGAAATGAGTTTATGAGTTTTTGCATCAGAATCATAAAAACTAAATGCATCACCAACTTGGGCTATTTGGTTCATTCATTTATAAATTTACCCTATTAAATATTTAAATGCATTAACTGTTTATAAGGTCTTGTCTTTAGGGTTTCACTTTGTATGACCTTTTGTTTTGTCACAAAGAAAAAAAAGATAACACAAAAAAAAATTTATGTCAAAGGGTAATTCTCAATGGTAATGCTATGATGACATTTTCAGCAAGCCACTAGGTGGAGAGGCCTTAGACTTATCAGAACTACAGAAGAATTACCAGCTTCCATCTACATGTAACTTTAAAATGACATAGTGAAGGGTTAATCTCCTTGACTTTCTCGTACATTTTCCTTGTATAGTTATGTTTATCCTACCATGCATAAATCCCATAGCTTTCCTTCTGAGGAGATTGAAAGGAAACAATAATGATATAGTGAGATCTAAAATAGATTTAGCACTGTAGAACTCTGAACTTTTTTTCGGTATGAACACTTTGTTAGTCTTGCAGTTCTAACTTACAGGTCAAGCATACTGAATTTTTTCAGGCACCGATTTAAGTTAATCATGGTTGGAACTTGAAGTCATTAAATAAATGCAACCCGTTTCTTTAATTGCACTGGAGTTAAGCAAACCTTGCCTTAAGGGATGAGGTGAAACCATGGTCAACACCTCACTGCATGTTGTCTTGCTTATTAGTAACACCGTCAAACTTGTCAGCGGACAAAATTTGCTTCCTCCCCACTACAATGCTTTTTATTTCGTTTCTTTTGTTACAGTTGGTAGAATGTCAGGGATAATGCTTGTTGATACTGACTAACTAGACTCTGCCCCATGTCTCTCTGTCTTAGTAGTTGCCTTTCATGCATTTTGCTTCCATGCTTACAGCAATGTTTTTCAAAACTTTTTGGCAATAATTTTTCACAGAAACTAAACTTGAGCATTTGGCTCAATCGGAAGTGCATGTTACTTCTTGTCCAAAGAGCTGGATTCGATATTTTCTTTCTCCCCTTAAATGAAAAATACAGAGCTTAATCTGGATATGTGATATTTAAATGCTCTATGTTGTATGGTTTCAAGCATAACTGATCTATATGTCCATGTTGCTGTTGACAATGAGCCTGCAAAGATATAGTACATGAAAGGTGGTTTCATTCACGAAAATGATGAGCCTGAGTGGCAAGCTAGATTTCTAGATCGGCTGCGATGGATTCTATTATGGACTGGTCTTCCTTGCACTAATGAGTTGCAAGCATGTAATGTTATGGCATTTCATTTTGCTGCTTGTACTTTATTATAAGTTTTGATTCCGATACATATTTGCTGTATACTACCAGGTAGAAAGTTATTATTCATTTGCTGGAAGGAAACAGAGAAAATCACAAGAGGATATCCCCTTTCACATTTATTCTATTACCATCGTCTGCCCTTGAGAAGCCCTTTTGATTAGAAGCGTCAAACTCAAACCCTGTGCATACAAGAAAAGGCAAAAGGTGAAAATAGAGTTTAAGGGGCTATGGCGTTAGCAGTATTGAAAACTTATTTACTGGTAAACAGTAGAGACTAAAGAGGGAGTTAGACATAGACTTACTCATGAAATTCTACTTGGACTATACCGGCGTTAGTATCAGCAATGGTGGCGAACGCATCTTGAGAAAGATTAATGATTCCCTGGCACCCTGGTTTACAGTAGTCAACAACTTTAACCACCACGCTCTTACCATTCTTGCAAGGATGAGGAGCTTTATTAGCTCCTCCTATGCATCTAACACTGTACTTCTTTCCACATGCTCCTCTGTTATTCCACAATGCATCACTTACTCCCGCTACCATTTTCCCATTGTCTTGGTTATAGCATGCTGAGGCTGTTCAAATTAAAATTCATTTGATTAGTTATCATATCGGATGTTTCTGTACCTGAATATTTGATTAAGTTATTGATGCATGATTTAAAAAAAAAGAAGTATATATTTCAAAAGAATAACAATGGTTATATAGACCAAGTCAGGGTTGTTCAAATCATGGTATAAATATATGATTTATATGCAGATTCACTAGAAAAATGAGATATTGAATAATTATTCTCACGAAAGTAAGGAGGTAGATAGAAAACAGCCTTCCCCTGAATAGCATGCACAACTGAGGTAAGACTCAAGGCCATGATCACAATCAGAAAGACTCTCATCTCAATCCTCATATCTTCCACCTATAAAATGGAAATTGATCTCCCTCTGTTTAAATGTTATTACTTCTCAGGGTTGCCACACCTTTTATAGTTCAGTCCTCCATTGACAGTCAATTTTGGTCAAGAGTCGCCCACAGTTTAGTCATCCTTGAATCAAAATTCTAGCTTCACCAACCCACTCCACTGATCTTCAAAGAAATAACCTCCCACCCCACTTATTTCTTTTGTTCGTGTATCCCGTCAAGCAGTCAACTTCATTGGTCTTCACGAGAAATTTCCTTCTCACTTCTTTTTTGTCCGTATGTCACATTTAAGCGGTGCAAAAAAGTAAAGAAGATGCTTTAATTTCATATGGGAAACAAAAAGAAGTCATTCTACGTACAAACGTTGGCGTTACGTATCCTAATAAGTTAGTTTTATGGAAATATAATAGTGGCTTCGTGACAAATGTATTAGAGTTAACCTTTGACTCATCCAATTCCATATCAAGTACCTTAGCGGGATAGATAAAATGGGCTAGTTTAATTTCTTAATAAGGGGTAGGAATAAGGCACGGTAATAGAGTTTACTCATGCCAAAACGCTTTAAAGAAGAATAAAGAAAGTGACAGCTGTGACGAGAGATTAGGTCGAAGAAAATATTATGCCAAGCTCCCAAAAAAATAAGTAAAGTGTTTTAATCCCATATCAATGGAAAAAGAAAGGTCCTTGAATATATAAATATTAGTATTATAAATTATTTATTTTTGTGAGATAAATAGATTAAATTTAATTATTTAACAAAATATCGAGATAAATTATAATAATAAAATCTAATTATATAAAAAATTTATTATAATTTTATATTTAAATTAAAATTCTTCACCTCTCATCAATTAATTTTATTTTAGATTACATACTTGATATGCTAAATACTTTTTTCTTTGGTTTTTTTGAAAAAGTTGAAAAAACATTCGTACATTTAATTGAATAATAATATATTTTTTAAATAATAATTGAATTCTTATCTTGGTTTCTCACACTTAAAATCTTGAAAAAAATTCCAACTATAAAATTTAAAATCGGATTCAAACTCTGACATGAATAAAAAAAATTAATAAAAAATAATCACCTTCCACCGTATAATTAAAAATTATAGTATACATCTTATCTCCGAAACGGACATCTCTATCCTAAAAAAGGCCCACTCTCCCACACTTGCAGGCAAAGCCCACAGAAAACTAAATGAAAAAAAAAAAAAAAAAACCCCTTAGGCCGTGTCCCTATCCTTATAAATTACTAAAACCTCCATCTCGCTTTCCAAAAATTTTCCCTTTATTTTATTTTCCATTAATTGCCACCCACGAACTCTTTAATGCCGCCACCTCCCCACGACTCCTCCCGCGGTGGTTCACCACTGCCGCCGTCAAAACCAAAAGAGAAGTTCCTGTCATTAATCCTGAAAGCCATAATCATGATGTTTCTCGTTACCTTCTTCTTCCTCCTCCTCCCTCTAGCATCTTTTCTCCTTCTCCTTCCTCTTCTTCTCCGCCGCCAGCGCCATCGCCATCGCCGCCACTCTCATCCCTCGTCTGGGTTTTGTCCGAAACAGCTCAGACAGCTTCCTCAGTTCAGATTCTCCAAGGAATCAAAAGCTACCCTTTTGGAATCTGACTCTTGTGTTATTTGCTTGGATGGGTTCAGACAAGGGCAATGGTGTAGAACCCTTGTTGGTTGTGGCCACTTGTTTCATAGGAAGTGTTTGGATGCTTGGTTAATGAAAGTCGCCTCTTGTCCAATTTGTAGAACGAGGGTTTGCTTGGATAGTGAGGATAAAATCATTTGGGATTTCGATACAAGGAGAACAGGTTTTCAGGGTTTGTTAGATTTGTAACTGTTTTGTTTGGATTTGTTTTAATATTTTTGTAGTCTACTGAAATTTTGGTTTCGTAAGTTATAATGTACAGCTGCTTTTCTCAATAATCAATGTGAAAATTCCTGCAATTTTTGTTCGCGTTTGTATAATTTTGTTAATTGTTCAACACCCATGAGTTAGAGAACTTTAATAATGGAATTCCCTTTTATTTATTTATTTGTTTAACTTTTCTTTATGATTGTTAAAAGGTTGTTGGTAGCTTAAATTGATTTGATAATAATGAGGAAGTTGGTTTCTGGGTCTAGTTTAATTATGAACTTTGAAGCATATTGATCTCATAGATGGATAAAAAAGGGATTCAAAGAAGTATCACCATTTTGGGCTTGTTGAGGTTTCATTACTGTATGATTGTTTGTGGATGTGATTCTTCTTGTTATTTCTGTCTGTTGTCCTTTGTCCATACCAAGTCAAAGATCTCAGATTAATGTGTAATTTTGAGGTGGGGATTTCAACAATTCTTTTGTTTTGCTATGTATATCAAATTTGAGATATTTTATTTATGTTATTGCCTTACAAGAATTTCCTGCTGTAGTATTTTATCTAAGTCTCCTTTGGGTGGAAAAAGAAGTGGAAAAAGAATCTAATAGTTGACCTGTTTCCTTATTATAGAGGATGATGCAGTTTGCTGAGTTACAACAATAGATGGTCATAAACTCATAATTAAGGCCATAATAATAATAATAATAAAATATTAGTAAGATCTCTCTATCTCCTCAATGTAGTTTATTCCTAAGGAGATGAAAACAAACTTAATGTCAGCCTCAAATGTTCCAAATGACATTGTAAAATTTCAGTTAGCTTTTTCCATCTGGAAAATGTAGTTACTCTTCTATGAGATGGAAACAAGTTTAAAATCAGCATCCCTTTGCCTTATCTGTTTCTAATTGTCACAGTGGGATAATCAAATTTCAGTGAGATTCTTTTTCCCCTTTCATCTGCAAACTTTAGTTCCACTTCTAGGATATGGAAACAAGCTTAATATGGTCTCCCATTGCCCTAGTGGGTCTGATGTAACTATCAAGTGGCCTTTTCTGTTATTGAGGGCTCAGAAACACTTTGCATCATCTATTCTTATCCTTCCTCCAGTCATAGTTGAAATAGATTGTTTTGCCGGAGGAGATTCTATGCGTGTTTTCAAGTTGGTCTTGACTACTTGAGAGTTAGTTCAGCAGGTTGCGTCTGCTATAGCAAATTAGCAATACTATTATTAGTTTCATTTACATCCAACTTATCAATGTCCTACATCACCGTATGAAATGGATAAATTTCTTTGTCCAAGTCCTCGTAGTAACTGCAAAAACTTCTATGGAACCATACATCTTTGGATGATTAATGTGTGCTGACACTTGCTGATGATTACTTTCCCATATTGGTCACCGTCTGCTTAGCAATAAGATCATACCTGTATTGGATGTTTAAAGCACCACAACCCTTTATCCCCTGGTTTTACCTGATAAATAGGTTTGTACGAGGAATATCAAATATGGTCACCAGAGTCTATTAAAGGCCGGAGTCAGGTCATGAGTCATTACTGCGGTGACCTAATATTTTTACTTGACTTTGCATCTTCAACTTCAAGTTATTAATGGTTTTCTCTTTTCTAAGATATACATATAAGCCATTTAAAGCTGACAAAAGATACTGCTCTTTATAGATGATTAAGCATGATAGAAACTAAGAAATTGTTATCTATAAATTTGCACTGTTATTGTGGATAAAGTTGGGTAACTCATTAACTGGTAATTTCTCTGTATAGTGCATACTTTGTTTATGAGTTAATCAAATTCGTATAAGACCTGCCTTTTTCAGCTTTCCTTGCTTCTCTTCTTAAGTCTCAACTTCTGCGTGTTTTCCGTGGCTTCTCTGCAATTCTTCCTTCCATCAACTCTTTAAAACCTAGTGCTACTTGCCTCTTGCTGGATGGAAAGCTTTTCCCACCCTGATGGTCCCATTCATGTCAATCCTCAAGCCTGCCATTAGCTTTATCCACTACTTGCTTTCCGTTAATTGGTTCCTCACCATTCATGGTCAATGCCAATGGAGGAACTACCCTTATACTCCAAAAATTGAGTTCCTAACGCAATGGTTCAGGAAGTTACTAATTGAATGATTAGCTAAAATATGTCAATTGCTCCACCTAGTCTCTTACTAAGAAGCCCCTTCCTCTTATCCATTCCTCTAATCCATTTGGGGCCGACCATTTCGTTGCCATGATCACCAACAAGAAGTCATGGACAGCAGGCATCAACCCTCGTCCAATTTTTTGAAGAGCAGCTTCTGACAAGTGTGCTTCTGCACCAACGGTGCTTAGATAAGATTACTGATACTGGTCAGGTGTGCTTCTTACCAAATGGTACACAGATAACTGATGCTGGTTTGGAACAATTTTAATCAAGCCAATTTAATATGCTCAGGAGATGGTTGTGACTGTTTCTCTTTGTTGTCGCACAGAACGGCAGGTCCAAGACACCATGCTTTGGTTCCATATCTCTAGAAGTGCTCGAGAAAAAAAAAGTACCCGTGGGGTAACTATAACTATTAACTGTTTTGCTAGTACTCTTGGGATGTTAGCATGTCTTTGGCAAGTATTGCACTTTCTGACCAGGACCAAGGCATCCGTCCTTATCGTTCCAAGGAGAGTGTTCTTCCCAGCACAGACGGTGCCACTTGTTCGGTATATTTTTGAAGAGCGCCTGTCCCTTGAGCTCTGCGAGCCACCAAATCTACAAGAGAAAAAAGGTCTTGCATATTGAGGGGTTGGTTGTTTGGACCGAGCACATGCTTCTATTTCTCTGGGCCTTTGGCCAGGTCTATAACACTTCCAATAGTACTTGTTCTTTCGTGTTTGGTTGGAATACCATTGATTCTGACTGATTGACATTAATTAGTGACGAATATATGGACAAATTCGTATCGATTTATTTTACGACACAGAAATTTTATCCGTTCAACTATGACATTGACAGCTGATTAGGTTTCATTATTCCGAAGCCATTTTTTTTCTTTATTAATCACATTATAGTAAACCAATAATCAATTGATAGCTGATATGTTTTAATGTTTAACAATTTACCAAGCATTTCAGTTAAATCTTGTCTCTCTCATCTGGCTTTGGAATTGAGGCACAAACTCGTCGTCACAAGTAAATATTTTATGGAGAACAAATCACCAGCTTTACAGTTTACAAAATCCTTAATTAAAAAATAAAGGAAATGCTCCAAACATCATCGATGCAATAATATAACATTAAATTAAATCCTAACATACTTTTTCAGCCTTTATCAGTATCACTGTCTGAGTAATTAATTTGTCTAATAGGTTTATAGATAGCGTAGTCAAATAAGCACGTGTAACCTTTTTCTTATCACGTTTTATACTATCAGACAACACGGGTCCCTTTCGTACAATCATCATTTACATTGATAATAAATCGTGTTACTATAAAATGAAAAAAATTTATTTATATTAAATTTATATATTTTTTTTTGTTTAAAATTTTAAAGGATATGATTTTTAAATTTTTTAATGTATTATTATATCATATTTCAAATCATCATTTCTATCCATTTCATAATTAAGTTTAGACAATTCCTTTGGATTAGTAATAAATATTTAGGTTACTTAGAATTATTAGTATTTTCTTTTTTTCTAATAAAAATCACTGATATAATAATGATAACTTACAAGTTACAAAACTTCGCTCCTTCAGAGAAAAAGAGGAAAAAAAAAAAAAATTTCAGTGGAAGGATTGGGACGTAGTAAGTTGATAATAATCAGAAATTTTCAGCCTGAAAAAACTCAAATCCATAACAAACAAACCCATCAAAGGGTTATTTCTGGAAAACCAGCTTCAAGCATTTCCCTTCTTTAAAATCTAACTAAAAAACTTCTCCTACACTATATTCTTCCATCTTTCTTTATTCTTGTTCAACTTGCCTTAAAATTGTACTCTTTATAGTCTACCCAAACATAGATACAAGAATTCAAGCAATAAAAAACAACAATGTCCGAAACACATGACCAAAATCAACAGCATAAAACCACCAAATCTTCTTCTTCTTATTGTTCTGTTTTGCTTAAACTCTTTTCCGATCCCTTCAAAATTTTCTTCCGAAACAAACACATTCTCTTCCCAATCCTCCTTTTCTTGACCCTCCCTCTTTCTTTCCTTCTATTTTCCCTTTCTTTCTCTTCCCGCCCTCTCAAACGCCACATCTTCCACCTCGAATCCATCGCTCTCTATTCTTCCACGCGCTTCGAAGCACGTCACGTCTTGAAAGAATCACGTGACGAATCCCTGTCTCTCCTCCGTCTCAAACTCTTCTTTTCCTTGCCTTCCTCCATTCTCTCTCTTCTATCCTTCATCTCCACTGTCCACGTCACCTCCCTTTCCGTTTCCCTCTCCCCTTCCAACCGCCCTTCCTTCCTCTCCACCGTCAACGCCCTCAAACTCGCATGGAAGCGCGTTGTTGTCACCTCCCTCTGTTCCTACGCCCTCTTCCTCCTCTATATCCAAGTCCCGCAGCTTTTCTCAGCCGCATTTCGAAACCACCCTCGGTTAAGCCTACCCATTTTGCTGATCGGGTTGGGTTTTGAAGTTTACTTAATGGGGGTGTTGGGTTTGGGCCTGGTGGTGTCGGCATTAGAGGAGAAATTCGGGTGGGATGCGTTTCGGGTCGGGTCGGATTTAATGGTGGGGAGGAGAGTTTGTTGGTGGTGCATTACTTGCATGTTGGTGGTAGTCTCGGGATGGATTGGGAGTCGGTTTGAGAAGCTAACGGACAGTGAGGATTTGGTGAAGTCGGGGGTTTTGGCGGTGTTGATGGGGTGGGAAACGGTGGGCTTGTTGTGGTTTTACGGGGTGTTGGTCATTTGGAGTTTTATGGGTACCACGGTTTTTTACTGCGACTGTAAACACCGGCTTAATAAAGCTGTAAATCATAGCTCAAGTGGTACGGAGTTAACTGATTTTACAGTGTAAAATTTGTTTTTCCGTCGATCATTACCATGTCAGTGCTTTTCTTCTGCTTAAAAAACTAGGTTGTTTTTGTAGTAGCGTAATAAGTTTAATTTGAGTGGGTGGGGGAAATAGTTGTTACAAAATTGTATTCTTATTAAATATATACTTGAAATATGCAAGTAGAAAAGCATATAATTAATATATTTTTTTATTAGAGTTATTATTTTTTTACAAACCTTATAGTTAAGTGTTTGAATAAACTAATTAAGATAAGATTCGGTTATTATTATTACAGTTTATATTTTGATATACAATTAATATATAATCAATGAATAAAAAAATATTAATTTTTAAAATAAATATATAAAAAATTAATATTTTTTAAAAATTTATTTATTAATTAAGTGATATCATTATTAATAATATATTCTATACACTAATAGTATATTAAATATAAATTTTATCATTATTATCATGTCAATAATAATATATATATATATATTTTTATGATTGAGCTAGTAGTGAGATACGATGATAAAGTGAAAATGATTTGTTGATTTACATTTGTTTTCGTTGGGAAATTGAAATAATAACATCTTAAACATATTATTAAATTAATAAAAACATATATTTATGAGGAAAATTTCGGTATGATTTTAATAGGAAAACCTTTATTATATAGAAGCTGGGCCATTATTGCTGCATCTTATATTAGTTAATTATTAGTAGCTACATTTAATTTGTTGTCTTTAAATTGTAATTAAACATGTTGGGATTTTATCCTGCTTCTTCGTTGAATGTATAAAATTCAATTATTAAGAAAGGGCTTGATGATGGTCAAAAGTTAAAACTAAGTTAGTGTTACATTTTTTTAACAAAAAAATTCTAAGTCAGTGTTTAATATTGAGAGATGTGTTTATCAGATGCGGTGCCAGCACCGGAGGGCAACACTAGATTTTCAAAGGCTTTTTTTTTTCTTTTAATTGCCACGGAAGCTCTAATTTTTAAAGCAATACACTAATGTTTCCTTTATTATATTTTATAACCAGACAAGTTTGATAATGGGATTATATATGATAATATAGAAAAGACGGAGGAATCGAATTCCTTTGAATTTCGAACATTTTGCACCTCCGGCAACCAATTCCCTCCACACCTTTTTCCGGAATAAAGTTGTGTCCTTTGTCTGCTTCACTTTCTGACATATTTGACTGGTGGACTTATGAATTTGGATTTTTGATAAAAAAACATAAAAAATAAAAAATTAGTTATAATTTATTTCATTGTTTTATCTTAACAAGTATATCCTTCTCTTGGGTATTAGGTCGTTAATTTATATCATTGATTTGGGTTTCGTTTGAATTTAGGTTTTAAGCTTTCGAAAATATTATTTTAGTAAAAAATTATATTTTTATTTAATTTAATTTTAAAATATTTTTATTTTAAAAATAAAATATTATGTCTCTTGCCCCTCTTTGCCACGCCAAACGTAAAGGAGGCTCACAAATTTGTGAAAACCAACAGAGAAGAAGACGTAGGAAATAAAAAACTCTGACGACGGTGTCCGCATCCCTTCAATGGCAGTCTCCTCTTCTAATCTTCAATTTCATCATCGCTCTGCCACATCTTCAGGTGAACTTCACTCTCCTTGTACCCACTTCTCCTATTGCTTCTTTTTCTTGCTTTCCCTTTCTCATTTATTTTTCGGAGTTCAGTCAATTCTCTTTTTGCAACTCTACTCTCGTGTGTTATAGGGATAAGTTAATATTTTTTTAGGTTAAACATAAAAATAAATTTAATATTATATATTTTTGTTATTTTGATATTTAAAAAACTAAAATTATTAATTTGATTTTTTAAATTAACGCTGTTAATTAATTTATTAGAGTAATATGAGTATTTAAAAAATTATTAATATATATAAAAAATTCAACCATCAAGTCATTAAAAGCAAACTTTTTAAAAAATTTCGACTACCAAGTCAATATTAAAAGATAACTTTTTTAAAATTACAAAAAATTTTAAACAATCTGAAATATTTTTAAAAATTATAAACATTAAAAATTTATGAAAATTTAAATATTTAAAAAAATTTAATAGAAAATTAAAAAATAAAAAATTCTAAAAAATGCAAATTTTAATAAAAATAAATTTTTCTTAAAATTAAAAAAGTTCATAAAAATTAAAAAATGAAAATAAAAAAATCTAAAGCTTTTTGAAATTAAAAAAAATCTAAAATTTTTTGAAAAAAATAACTTTTAAAAATTTTCTGAAAATATTTTAAAAAATTCTGAAAAGTTAAAATTTTCCAAAAGCTTAAACATTCTAAAAAATATAATAAATTAAATAAATTTTTTGAAATTAAAAAATAAGAAAACTTAAAATTTTAATAAGAAATCCAAAAAAATTAAATTTTTTTGAAAAATTCAAAAATATTTTTTAAAAATTAAAATTTTAAGATTAAAAAATAAAAAGTTTCAGAATTTTTTTACAATTTTTTAAAAAAAATTTAGGTTCTTTCACACAATTTTATATTTTTTTTTGTTTTCATTTTTTAATTTTAATAATCTTTTCTTTTATTAAAACTTTCATTTTTTTTTATTTGTTAAGTTTTAACTTATTTAATTTTTTAAAATATTTCAGTTTTTTATATTTTTAATACTTTTTTAAAACATTTCATATTTTTTAAAATTATTAAAATTTGTAAGAAATTTTAGAATTTTTTTTCTATTGCTAACGTGATAATTGATGATATATTGTTCTTAAACTTTAACATGTTTTAGTATCTTAATAGATATTTATATCACATTAATAAATTAATTGATGACATTAATATCAAATATTAAAGTGAATAATAAAATTAAAATTAAAATATTACAATGATAATTTTAATTTTTTTAGATTTGAAACTGGTAAAAAATATATTTTTAACCTAATTTTTTATTTTTACGGCCGATAAAATTTGATTATATCTATAAATGTAGAAGCTTATAAAAAAGTATCCAATAAGAAAGAAACAAACGCGAAAAGCAAAATTGGGCAGCCTTGATTAATGTGGCATTGAAAAATTACAGCCTATGTATTTGTTTTCCATGACCTACATCAACTGAAATGAAAGCTGTTTTTCTCATAAATTAACTAGGGCTTGGTTTGGATTCAATCACACTTTTGGTGGAGGTGTGATTACAATCAAATCTTGTGTCCTATGATCGTTTGAGATCCAAATAGATCTCGGTGTGGTGAAGTCAGAGGCGATTGCTCATGGAACTTAAAATGTCCAGTGGTCAATTGCACCACAGCTTTTTTTTTTTTTTTTTTTTTCATTTTTACTCCTGGAATTTTAATATTAACCCAAATGTGCCTTAACTCTTTTTTTTTTTAATTCATTTTATTTTTTTATTAATATTAAATTAATAAAAATTATTATTATATAGTAAACTAATAAATAAATAAACTTTTATTTAATTTTTTATTATTAAATTTTAATAATTTATTCACAAAACTATTACTTAAAATAATTTAATAATTATTTATTACGTACAATTTTTATTCTAATAACATTTTTAATAATTTATTCACAAAACTATTACTTAAAATAATTTAATAATTATTTATTACGTACAATTTTTATTCTAATAACATTTTTAATAATTATTTTTTATTCTTATTACAGTTCGTCTCATAGTTATTTTTATATTTAAATATAAATCTCATCATTGATTTTAATTTTATCTTTATAATAAATAATCTCATTTATTCCGTTATTTTCAATCTCATCATTTATCCAAATGAATAAGGTAAATATGTTTCTGTTCCTATATTAAACTAATACTTCAATGCCTTGTTTAATTGCTGCTTCACCATATTTTAATTCTTAGGTTTACTCCTTCGAATTTCATGGTTGTAAAACCTATTTGAGTTGATGTTAGATGAAAGGGAAACTGTGAGACAGGTTTATGTTAAAAGTTAGCTTGAGAAATCTATACTGATGAATACGTTTGTTTTTTTTTTTTAATTATTATTTTCATCATTTGCTGAAATAGTTGAATTGAAACCAAAAATGGAAGGCAACACTTTTCTCTCCAATAAATGGCGCAGGCCATGATACCATGTTGACATATGCCTCGTGCTTCATATAGCTGCCCTAAGTTTTCTGACTTGAATTCTGTTGGGAAACCTATTTAACATATTAAACCTTTAATATATGAGAAGTTTTTTATTGAAAAATCAGTATTACCTAATTTTTGGCAGTTTCTGAAGTAACTCCTGGACAGGTTTCTTTTAATTTCAGTTATTAAAGGTCTTTTTTCAAGGAGTACGGTAAAATTTCACGTAATTACTCCTTATGGCTTGGACCAATATTGAAGTTTGAAGTTATTATTTTGTTTATGTCACCAGTTGTCTATGAGCCATGATCAAAGGTCTAGAAGGTAGGAATTGGTGCAGCCCAGATTGCATCCTAGGGCCATTTTAATTCTAAAGTTTCTATCTCTTTTCGGGTGGAGATTTGGAAGAGCCAAGATTCAAGCCTAGTTACCAGGACAACCAAGGGCCAAGCTTTTGGAATCTTGGCCAATCCTAACATATGCTTCAACCAAGACTTCCTCATTTATAATGCCAGCATGTTTGGTTTGAATAGGTCAAAGGTTTTGTAGGTATTTGATTAAAAGATTTGGTAAATAAGTGCACTTCATGGTAGTAAAGATCTCCATGTCTAGATGATTGAATATTGGTTGATCTAGAGGTAAAATCTGCGACTGTCTTGTTGATGGTACATAATATATAAATGGACTCGGCATTGTGTTATGACTTGGTTTTATATCAGTTGTGAGTACGGAGAACAGAAACGGTATTGATGTTTTTTCGTGATTGATGAAAGAAGTCCATGACCAAATGACTTTGTTGTCTACCTTTGGCTGCATGGATTGTCTCTCTGCCTCACTTGTGGCCGTAAACCATAAATTAAGAAATACATGGTATCAAATATAAAATTCTTAAAGAAGATAAAGAGTGAAGCATGG